CCCTGTGCTGAGTTTTTTTAAATTTTAGTATATGTATTTTACTCATTTCAAAAAATGAATAAATCTGCTTTTAAAATATGTTAAAATTTGGTAAAAGGAAAATTCAAAATTAGAATTATTTTCATTTATTGCTACATATTTACACATCGTATACAATGTAAATGTGTTATTCAGTATTTGGCGTTGGGTGTAATTTTAAATTAAGTAAAGTTACAGTTTCATTAAATTTTAGTTATTATAATCCAGGACTCTTTCTATTTTAATATTACTGTCAGTAGTAATAAAAAGCTACAATGCAAATTGAAGTCCTTCAATTATGTTGTCAAAAACATATTTAGTATAACACTATAGAAAAAACCTATATATTCATAAATATACTGCATATGATTCATCCTCACTTTATTTGAAATTATACATAACTCAAATAATAATTAACATTATGATACATTTCAGTGGTATTTTTATTCTGAAATACAATAAAATTATTTTTAATTCGTTATTAATTAAAAAAAAAATTCTTACAATTTTTATTCAATGTTAAAATTAAATTGAATGATATTTCTAATTGTGTTTCATTTGATATTTAAGGTGAATTATTAAGAATAAGACACTAATTTTCGTGAAAACTATTGAATATTATAAATTCTTGTATAAGAAAAACGGTTGATCAGAAAAAGAACAAAATTTTTTTCTATCACATCATAAAATTAGAAATTGGGGTTACCACTAAATAGAATTACAGTTTATGTTTTTAATTCTTGAACGAGTAAAAAAAAATTCCTTAATATCATATTATTATAAATTTTTTTAATCAAAAAATATTTTTTTTATGAAAATGAGTGTATTATCTTTTATGAATCATACTGTATATTAAATTGTTGGTAATTCTTATAAGTGTATTCGTTGATTTTCAAAAAAAATCATAATTGTATGATAGATTTAAATATTATTTAAAAATTTTAATTTATTTCACTGTTTCAGATTTTTCAGTTATTAAACAGTTGTTTATGTCAATTTGATTATGAAAGTGAAAGTTCTATAATATCAACTAATTTATTACAAGAAGAAGTAGATGAAGATTATAATGAAATTCAAGATGACAAAGTAGATATAATTTCAGGATGTGAGTTTGATGGAAATTGATTTATTTATATAATTAAAATTAATGAAGACAACATAAATATATTTAATAAAAAAAACTGTTTAATTAGCGGCGCATCTAGAAAACAGTGATTAGGGGTTCACATCCTTGTTTGTTATTCTTAATATTTGTTGTGATAATTGGTCAATTAAATGAGTAGAAGATTTTTTAGAAGACTAAAATGTCAATTCTGATATAAAAAACACATTTATTTCATCGTTTATACTGCAATAATGGGTATTTCAAAAATTTACAAAATGAGATTTTTATCTATATTAGTACAATAGGTGTCTGGACATATTTTCTCGTAAGACTCGTAGATATATTGTATATTGTAAATGTAAAATCACTTTTAGTATTTGAACATGTACTCATTTAATTCAAATTTATTTTTTAATTATCCTGAAAACCTGCAAAAACTGAGATACGTACTGTCGCAGTATAAACGATGATTTAATATTATATTAAAAACACATAACAGATTTCTCATTCTAATATTAAAATATTATACAGCTCACTAAAAATATATTTTATCTAAATTACTCTTTATGCATCAACTCACCATGATTCGAATATAAGTTTCTTAATTATAAAAACATTGTAAAAATTAATTACGGTTCGTTTATTTCACAATAAACTATAATTTGTTGAAAACAATCGTTTAAAGTGTTTTAAGTATAAAACTGAGTTGTTTTAATATTACTTAATACTTATTGTTATCGTTTAACATCTTCGCTTCAACAAAGTACATACTTCAATCAATGTTTAATTAAAATTTATAATTAAATTAATTAAATTGATTGTTTGAATGTTACAAACTTCAACAGTTATTTCTACAATAATTTGATGTTGTATTAAGTAATAAAATTTCCCAGGCTTTTGGAAAAAGTATTTGAATTAAGTAATCAATTTTTTATTATAAATAAAAGTCGTTTACTATTTGAACAACGTTTTTTATTTATAAAATTTCTGATTTTAAAACATTCTACTAAGGTGGTTATATAAAATTGTTAAATATTGAAGTTTTATTATTGACCAGGGTCCACAATTTGTTCGGGAACAAGCAGTCCGGTTATGTGCGAATTGGTTAGAATTAAATCGTCTGGAAAATGGTCTGAGAAGGATTCAAATGATCAGTTTTTAGACCGCCAAAAAAGAGAAGCGATTGTACAAGAGGGTAGCGAGATGCCACCAGAAGCTACATATCGAACACCTAGAGAAGTTGAATCCCTAACATCATCAATGCCAGATCCTTCTATGAAACCTAAGTTGCCTGACAAAGGTAATCCTTCTCAGGAAGTTCCCCCACCCGAAGTTAATCCCGGAAAAAGTGATGTGACTACATTAGAACCGGGTGCAGAAACTTTGGATCCATCATTGGTAGATGTTGATTCTGGTGGAGATGGTTGTAATTACGATTTTATATCAATCATATTTAAATGTGGCCTGAACTTAATCACAAGTATTTTCGGTCTATCAGATACCTGTTGTAAAGATATACTTTAAACAAGCTCAATGAAAATGATTTGTGATATCAGCTAATTTTATTATTCACCATTACATTATGTTTTAAACAATTATTCATGAATTTGGGTGTTGAGTTCAAAATTAACGTTTTAAATAAATCAAATATTTATTATTAGTTAATCAAGACGTAATACATTAGAATATTATTTTTTTAGTTTACGTGAAAATTAATTTTATAATGTGATACGTACCAGTTATTTTTTGCTTCAATAAATAATTAAAAAAAAAAACAAATTAAAAGTAATAAAATACTATTTATTAATTTGTCTGGAAAAATAATACTAAAAATTAAATAAATATCATTTCAACATTACGAAAACCCTATTTATAAATTAAATAGTAGTTGTTAAGGAAATACAATTAATATTTGAGTGTAATGTTATCATTAGTACAAAATAAGTATTGTGTTTTTATTATCTTCATAATAAATACAAAGTATTTTAAGTAACTCTGGCGAAAACATTTTCATTAGCATGCCTATATCATAGTAAAAAAAATTAAGTAACCCCCTCTACAATGCATTCTAAATACGTCCCTGCTCTTGTATGTCTTAATAATGATATATTTGTAGAGTTAAGAATGATAGCACTCTAAGTCATTGTTCTATGCTTAACATCATTGATCCTTTTATTCTTAAAGTTCATGATTTTTCAAAAACAAATATTGATTATTATTATGTACAAATATAGCATAAAATATCGTTGCTTTGAACTGCACAATATTATTGTTAAAATTAGGAACAAAGTACGTAACACTTTAAATTTAATTTAATAATAAGAAATTAAATATCTTAGCATAACAAACGTGTTTGTATTACCTGTAGGTTCTGTATTACAAAAATAATAACAATCGTACGTGGGTTACAATTTCTAAACCTTATTTTAGTGGGTTTTACACAGTTAAATTGACTACTAATTTATAAATATTTTAAAGTCTATATAATTACATATGTGTCTATATGTAACAAAGATATATTATATAACAAGAAATTCAAATATGAGCAATTTAATTTCTAAGAAATAAATTCGCTTAATTTTTCTGCTGAGTACTTTATTAATTTACAGGTTTGGTTGAGTTTTAAATAGAGCAATAATTATTTAACTATTTTGTCGAAACTTTTTGAATTGTAAAATTAAAACTTCAATAATGTATTGCACTATTAATGTTAATTTTTATTAGAAATACTGTTTCTATTAACTATTGTAATAAAATGTTGAATTTATATAATTCAAATATAATTAACATTACATTGTGTTCAAACAAAAAATCAACAGAATCTTTTTTATATTTAAATACTACTAGAAATTTTCAAAATAATGATTTTTTTTTAATGACTATTAATTTTAAAAATAATTTAGTTTAATTATTTTTAACAGCATCATAATTTTTTGACTAATAGAAGTTATAATTGTGGCCTATTACATATATACATTTAAATGAGGATTTTCTGTGACAATGAGTATTACAAAAGCAGTTTAAATTGATGAAAAATTTAATATACAATACGCAATAAATCATTGTCCTCTGTGGATAACAAAACAGTTTGGGTAGGTATTGTTCTGTCAATAGGTGTTTTGTTCAAGTTAGTGTGTAAAAGGAGGTACTATCTCATCAAAATTACAATTATTATTGGTGAGCCTTCGGGAACATTGCCAAACCATTTAAAAGCCGGCCGGCATCACGACAAATGGGTCTCTAGGGTTATGTTTCAAAACAACTGGGGAAACAGAATATTAGCATTTTGCTACAAAAGGACTTTAACCATCCCTACACACCTTTAACTTTTTGTACTTATGAAGCTCAAGAATTCATCATAATTGTTAATGATCACGAAGAGATGGTATAAATAACAATCTGAATCACTTACACTTATTAATTTTGTAGTTTTATATATCATAATTAACAAACAAAATAATTAAATTAAATTAAAAACTTTATTTAATTTGTCAAAAACTCTTGTTATATTAATTAGAATTATATTTTTATCTAATAAAAATATCTTAAAACTATATATTTTTGTAACCTTCTTTGTTTTTAAGTATACTTAATCTAATGTAATATTTATTATTTGATAATTTTGTGGAATAATTTTTTTTTATAAATAGTCTTATTATTGATTTTTTGGTAAATAATTTGTAAATTCTAACAAGTGTACACATTATTATTGCCATGATATTGCTTAAATAAGATAGAAGGATTTGGCTTTGGACCCTATCGGGTGAACGAAGTGTATTTTTCAATTATAACTTAGAATAGTGAGATAAACTAAATGATGGTAACGCGACAGAAACAGTATACATATTTATGCTTATTTTGTGGAACTTAATCAGATTATTCACTAAATTCGATGAAATAAATGGACAAAATCCGTTTAGTATTCTATACCCGGATATGTTATTTTGGTGCACGGATTTTATTATTTTGTTATTTTTTAACATTAAAGGGACGAGTATACAGTATTAAATGTCTACCTTGCATGTACGTAATAATTATACCGCGTTATTTGGTAAAATTTTAAGGATTTGTAAAAAAAAATGAAGCAATAGTTACTCTCGTTTATGTTCTAAATTCTCTATTTTAGTATACTCTAAGCAATTAAAAAGTACTGTTAAAACGTGTGTCTAAACGTATGCACATTTAATAGTTCAGTTTTTGTTTATGTACGACAGCATAGTGTCTGTTCTGATGAATATGATGTCATTACAAACATTTCACTCGATTTACCGACTGAGTTTCTTCTTAAAATTTTTTTCCTGAGGTATTCAAGTTGACAATTTGAAACTGTGGAATAATTTTTTTGCTCGTACAAACACTTAGGTGAAAGCTTTTTGTACACTAAAACTTATTGCACGCACAAAAAACCCTGCACGTATAATGATTTTCGTTATCTAAAGAGTTCTATCAATGAATATTTTTCCAATTCACACAATACAATTTAGAAGTATCTAAATACTATAGAAAGTCTATGTAAAATATTAATCGACAGAGCTATTGCAAATTTAATTAAGGTTTAATGTTTCTTAAATTACGCTTGGTTAAGTTTGATATAAAACTAAGTACCTGGAACCAAACACTTAAAAGTAATTACTAGCAAAAATATTACAAGTCTTTACCGAGTTGTAACGTGATCTTGAAACAACACAAATTTTATAATCCTTTATTCGATAACCTAATAGTAATTATTATTATTGCTATTATTTTGTATTGCTGTCTTTTAGCAGCTTTCGATTAATGGTACACATTAATACAAAATGTAAGTTCTATAACGTTTAATGATATGACCGTCTAAGATAAAACATAATTATGTTTAATGTTCAGGAATCCAACTTTTAATTGAAATCATAAAACAAATTATAAAATGCAATCATGAAAATAAATAAAAAAATCGTACCTGTTATATTTTTTTAGCGAAAACATCGAAATGATCTATTATGCAGTGATGTGTATACAAACATTATAAATGTTCTCGTTAAAGTATTAATCATTTAAAATTATCATTATTTAATTACTTTATTCAATTGTTATTAAATGCATGATTTTATAAATTTAATGTTAGCCAGAAGATTTTTTTAATTATTAAAAAAAAACTGAGATGAATTTACATAAGTATTGTAGAACTTATAACATCAAACGGCATATAATTTTATTTTTGTTAATTATAGGAATAAATTATGTACAAACAATTAAAATCTAATAAAGCTGTGATTACACAAGGGTAATTTTACAAGTAAAAGGAGGAGAAAACAATTTTGTGCAATTATCCAAGTGAATGTTAATCCGATAAGATTAAAAAATGCGTACCGTCTAATATTTAAATAATAATGCTAAATAATAAGTCACTATTACTTTTATATTAAATATATGCTTAAATCATTGCATAATTAAGAAATACGACGGGAACGTGTTTTTAAAATTACTTGAATTAAAATATAAAATAAAAAGTAATTTTGTAAAAAGACATTTCTGCATAATTTTAATCTTTTATTTTAAGAGTATAAAATGGAACAAATGAAACTTATTGGCGAACAGTAGTACATTTGAACAACCATCGTGAATGATTCAATGTAGTCAAGTTGTCACAATTGTGAGATAAGTTCAAAATGTACGTTTGAACTTTAAGGGGAATGGTTAGGTTGCGATGACAGGTGGTAGACAATCGAATTCAAGAGCTTTTGAATTGTATGCATGCCCTCTTTACACGTACACACAGAGCCATATAGATGTATACGGTTGGTTCATGATGATTTGATAAATCTAATAATTTTCGATTTATTAAATACTTTTGTTTTTTTTTTTAAATTGTTATTACACTTTAGGACTATAAAAATATAATCAGAAATAATATTATATATATATTTTAAAATTGCGAAAAGCGTAAAAAAAATATCAAGATAGCCAAACCTTATTAATGTTCAGTAGTAAATACTCTGTAGTATTTTAAAGTTTTTTTATGGTTTCCAACATAGAAATATGTATTGAGAAAAGGTCAGAAGCAAAAGTATTGTTTTTAATAATTGATTAATTATTGAGATTATAGGTATGTTTCCATAGAAATGCGATAACTCTAACATGAATTATATGTAAAAATATGCTTAACATTCATTCAATTTTTACTTATATAGACTAACTTTTAATACCATTTAATAAACATTATTTTAAAAGCTTCAAAAATTTAATTAAAAAGTATTGTAATGTAATTTTGCTACCAAATAATTTGTTCAAATCTACTCTGAAAATAACTATCTTGATATTTTTTCAATTTTAATAAAAAAAACAAAAACAAAGTTCAATAAATTAAAAAAATATTTTTGATGATATTTTTATAGTCTTGAAATATAACAATAATTAAAAAAAAAGTAGTTTTAAAATATTTTATAAAATATAATTTATTAGATATATACAAATATCGTGGACCACTCTGTATATATAAATTATTAAATTATAAGGCAAGATTTATAATATGGTCTAAGCCATAGTCTGGAAATTCATAAGAACACATAACGCGACTATTCTGAAACTTTGTTATTTACGCTTAAGAATACTAAAAAAAAATTATACTGCCATTTTTAAATATTTTTCAACACAGTGTTGGTACCTTAATGTTAATTGTTATGTAATGAGAATTGATCACTTGTGGCTAACATTATTACAAATTAAAAATATATTTTAAATATTATATTGTGTTTATATTGTTTTGTAATGTTTGTG